ACAAACTAGGGAAATCCCAATTAGTAAGGAAATGATGTTGGAGAAATTGCTGGCATTTTAGGTTGATAAATTCCTGGGGTCCGATAATTCACATCCCAGTGTATTTAAGGAAGTAGCCCCAGAAATAGTAGATGCATTGGTGGTCATCTTCCAAGATTCTATAGACTCTGCAAGAGTACTTATGGAAGGAGGGTATCTAATGTAACCCCTCTATTTAAGAAAGGAATTAGAGAAAACCGGGACTTGTAGACCAATTAGCCTGACATTAGAAGTGGTAAAATGCTAGAGTCTATTATAAAAGATTTAATAACAGCATTTCGAGTAAAATGACAGATTGGACAGAACATGGATTTATAAAAAGGAAATCGCTCTTGAGAGATCTACTGGAAATCAGTGAGGATGTAATTAGTAGGGGAAGCCAATAGATGTGATTTACTTTGACTTTAAGAAAGCTTATGATAAGGTCCCACATTTAAAAAAAATAGCATGTGAAATAAAAGTGTGTGGGATTGGGGCTACTGTCCTCACATGGATAAGGAACTGTTCAACAGAAAGGAAGCAAAAGAGTCAGAATAAATAGTCATTTCTTAGTGGCAGTCAGTGATGAGTGGGTTACTGCAGGTATCAGTGCTTGGAGTTCAGCTATTCACGCTATATATTAATTTAGGTGAGGGAAATATCTCCACGTTTGCAGTGACACAAAGTTAAGTGGGAGCATGAGCTGTAATGAGGATGTAGAGATGCTTCAGTGGGATTTGGACAAGTTGAGTGAGTGAGCAAATGTCTGGCAGATGAAGTATTATGTGGTAGCAAAAACAGGAAAGCAGAACGATGATAAATTGGGAAAGAGGGAGGTGCTATGACACGTGGGTGTCCTCGTCCACCAGGCTTTGAGGCCACACCTGGAGTATTTGTGCTGTTCCAATCTCCTTATTTGATGAGGGCCATTATGGCTGTGGAGGGAGTGCAATGAAAGTTAATCAGACTGACTTCTGGATGGCAGTACTGACATGTGAAGAGAGACTCTATTGGTTAGGTTTATATTCGCTGGAATTTAGAAGAATGAGGGAAGATTTCATTGCAACCTATAACATTCTAACAGGACTAAGTAGGGTAAATGCAGGAATGGTATACCTGATGACTGGTGAGTCCAAAAGTAGGGAATAGAACATAGAACATAGAACAGTACAGCACAGGCCCTTTGGCCCACGATGTTGTGCCAAACTTTTACCCTAAACCTAAGGTCTATCTAACCTCCACCCCTACCTTATACTATCATCCATATGACTATCTAATAGCCGCTTAAATGCCCCTAATGAGGCCGACTCCACGACCCTCTCCGGCAATGCATTCCACGCCCCGACCACGCTCTGAGTAAAGAAGCTATCTCTGACGTCTCCCCTATATCTACCTCCACTCACTTTAAAACTATGCCCCCTCGTAATAGCTACCTCCACCCTAGGAAAAAATCTCTGGCTGTCCACTCTATCTATACCTCTGATTATTTTGTACTCCTCTATCAAGTCACCTCTCATCCTTCGTCGTTCTAAAGAGAAAAGCCCTAGCTCTCTCAACCCTTCCTCGTAAGACCTTCCCTCCATTCCATTCAACATCCTGGTAAATCTCCTCTGCACCTTTTCCAACACTTCCACATCTTTCTTGTAATGGGGCAACCAGAACTGGACACAATACTCCAGATGTGGCCAAACCAGGGTTTTGTATAGCTGGAGCATAACTTCATGGCTCTTGAACTCAATCCCTCTATTACTGAAAGCTAACACACCATACGCCTTCTTAACAACTCTCTACACCTGGGTGGCAGCTTTCAGGGAACTGTGGACATGAACTCCAAGATCCCTCTGCTCCTCCACACTGCCAAGAATCTTTCCGTTAACCCTGTATTCTGCTTTCAAATTTGTCCTTCCAAAATAAATCACCTCACATTTTTCAGGGTTAAATTCCATCTGCCACTTCTCAGCCCAGCTCTTCATCCTATCAATGTCCGTTTGTAATCTAGAACAGCCCTCCGTACTATCCACAACTCGACTCACCTTTGTATCATCTGCGTACTTACCAATCCACCCTTCCACTCCTTCATCCAAATCATTTACAATATGTAGGACTGAGATGAGGGGAAATTTCTTCACCCAGAGAGTAGCGACCCTGTGGATTCTGTCATAGGAAGCAATTGAGATAAAAAAAAATTGCATGTTTTCAAGAAGGAGTTAGACATACTACGTAGGGCTAAAGGGATCAAAGGGTATTGGGAGAAAGCAGGAACAGGATACCGAGTTGGATGAACAGCCATGATCATATTGAATGGCAAAGCAGGCTCAAAGGGCCTACTTCTCCTATTCTGTCAATAGAGTTAATTGAAATTAGAATGAAAGTTAATTAACCTGAAATATTAACATTGTTTCTTTCTATCATGCTTAGTTTCTTCAGCATTTTCTATTTTTATTTCAGATTTATGGCATCAGCAGTATTATATTCTGTAGACCATAAGACACAGGAGCAGAAATTAGGCCTTTCAGCCCATTGAGTCTGCTCCGCCATTCAATAAGTTTCTCAACCCTATTATTCCACTTTCTCCCCATAACCTTTGATCCCCTTGACAATCAAGAACCCATCTGTCTCCGTCTTAAATATACTCAATTCCACAGATTCACCACTCTCTGACTGAAGAAGTTTCTCCTTATCTCCATTCTAAAAGGTCTTCCCTTAACTCTAAGGCTGTGCCCTCGGGTCCTAGTCTCTCCTACCAATGGAAGCATCTTTCCAACATCCACTCTGTCCAGGCCATTCAATATTCTGTAAGTTTCAATTAGATCCCCCCTCACCCTTCTAAACTCTATCGAGTATAGGCCCAGAGACCTCAAACGTTCCTCATATGTTAGGCTTTTCATTCCTGGGACCATTCTTGTCAACCTCCTCTGAACACGCTCCAGGGCCAGTACATCTTCCCTGAGATATGGGGCCCAAAACTGTGCACAATACTCCAAATCTAGCCAGACTAGAGCCTTATGGAGCCTCTGAAGTACATTCCTGCTTCTCTGTTCAAGTCCTTTCAGAAGAAATGTCAACATTGCATTTGTCTTCCTAACTACTGCCTCACCCTGCAACTTTATCTTGAGAGAATCCTGGCCTAGAACTCCCAAGTCTCTTTGAAATTCAGACTTCTGAATTTTCTCCCATTTAGAAAATAGTCCATACTTTTATTCTTCTTACCAAAGTGCATAACCTTACACTTTCCCACTTTGTACTACATCTGCCACTTCTTTGCCGACTCTCCTAACCTGTCCAAATCCTTCTGCAGCCTCCCCACATCCTCGATACTACCTGTCCCTCTACCTATCTTTGTATCGTCTGCAAACTTAGCCAGAATGTCCTCGGTTCCGTCATCTAGATCATTAATGCATAAAGTGAAAAGTTGTGGTCCCAACACTGACCCTTGTGGAACACCACTTATCACTGTTTGCCATCTTGAGAAAGACCCTTTTAACCTCACTCTCTGCTTTCTGCCAGACAACCAATCTTTTATCCATGCTAGCACCTTGCCTCTAACTCCTGCCATTGCTGTTCCACTGTCTTTCCTGCTGGCCTCCTCTCTCTGTCAGTTCTGCCCAGCCCTCCCTCATGCCTCTGTAGTTGCCTTTATTTAGTTGTAATGTCATTACCTCTGATTTTATCTCCTCCCTCTCAAATTGCTGAGTAAATTCAATGATATTGTGATCACTGCCTCCCAAGGGTTCCTTCACCTTACGCTCCCTTATCAAGTCTGCGTCATTGCACAATACTAAATCTACCGGCCTATCTTTTTGATAAGTTGTATATCCTTGGATATTCAGCTCCCAATCCTGATCCCCTTGCAGCCATGTCTCTGTGATGCCCACCGTATCATATCTGCCAATTTCAATCTGCGCCACAAGCTCACTGCGCCAGTCCTGAGTTCTCCTTTCCAGTCATTTTTTTTCCCATATTTTTCCTGTAATAGAACTCTTAATGTTTGTTGTCAATTTTTGTGCCCTACTGTAAACTTGGACTTCTTTTAGTTGCATGTACAAGACATTTGAGCATTAGATGAACTTGTGCAATAAAACAGAAATTCTTAATTCATTCAGTCTCTCTTGGTTGATAAATCATTTCCTGTTAATTGTAACTACCACCTAGGATTGAAAGCTTTAATCATGTCATGACTAAATTATTACTCGACCATTATGCTATGTAATGAATAAAATATTTCTCTGACTGACTGAAATTCATGTTGCAAGGAACATTACTGTGGCTGTGGCAGTGCCAGTATTGATAAATTAAATTGAAATATGGAAGGGCACATTAAACCTATCGCGTGTTGGAGTAATTGCAGAATGAAATCACTGTACAAAGGAGAACCATCATATTCAAAAGTGTACAACTCCTACTTTTTTCTCTTTTTGTGTATTTGTTGAAATATGAGTATTTAGTATTCCTGGATGTACTGAATTCAAGTTCAGTCTCATTTTCCAATATTAAATGCAGAAGTGTGAACTTGCTGAAGTCTAAGCTTGACTTGCAAATCATTCATTAAGTATTAACTTGGTGGCAAAATGCACTTGTTAAAATTTGAGCGTTTTCTTTTGCGATGACTAATATGTTGTTGAAATGCATGGTGGTGAATCCCTATTGGGTAGACAATTTGACAGCACAAATTTAACAATATGAGCTGCAGATGTAAATTGGAAATAATCATCCTAACTGCAGATAGATTTAATCAGATGAACATGGATATATTGTATAGAACTATTACCAACACTGGTATTTTTTTTTGCCATATTTTGTCAAAGAATCTCACCATCTATCTAGATTTTACTCATCAGTTGGTTACAAGTCATCAGAAAAGTATGCATGATGCTTCAACAGGAAACAAATTCCATGTATGGTTGTAGGTTGGGCTGACACCTCAGTTCCTGACTTTGTCACTAGTCATTTAAGTTGCATCAGTAAAATATTGGGTGGGGATGTTAAGTTAGAGTTGGATGTGTGAGAATTAGCTGAACACTTAGATTGCAATGACTGGGTTGACAATTTCCAGTTGTAAGCAGCTGCTTGCCTTTTGACAAATGTCAGCAGGATAATGTTTTGATCTTCCTTTGATGCAAGAACAGCTCAGTGGTAGAAGTTCTGTCTGCTTGACAAGGTTTAAGTCTTCATTGTTAGAAATTATTAGTAGTCACAGTAATGAATGTATCTTTTTAATAAAGTTGTTTTTAAATTTTAAATGGTTGTTTTTCTTTTTGACTGATTAATACCATTGGATCAAGATACAGTTTGTTTCATTTAAATCAATTTGCAATTTTGAATAAGTTGTTTGAGGAGCAGATCTATCAAGTTTCAGAATATTTGGGCAGTTCAAAAACTCATTGGAATAGCTCCTGATTGAAACATATCAAAGTAATAATTGTAAATAATGTATTGTTTTGCATATCTAGCTGTTAGAATGTTATTTTCATTTACCAAAAAGTACTAAAACTTGATAAGTATGCAGTAATATGCTAAAATTTATATTTGCTGAGCCTGCCAAGAGCTTGAGTGTTAACATAAAGAAAAGACCAATTCAAAGCTATTTTTTCATTTTCTTTTGTTTTGGATGGACGTTGAACATTGTTCATTAATGTAAACAACAGGCATATTAACAGTAAAAACAAAATCATAGAACTGAAAAGGTTTTCAGGGATTCTAAATGTTGATGGGGTATGCTAATGGTACTAACTGAGCCTGAATGCACTGGGACCATTTCAGAGAGCAATTTAGAGTTGACCACACTGCGAGTTATATGTAGGGCAGATCAGGTAAGGATGACGGATTTCCTTTCCTAAAGGATGTGCGTGAACCAGATAGGCTTCTACAACATTCAACAAAAGTTTTGATTGTCATTACAGAAATTAGCTTTCCAACTAATTGAATTTAAGTTCCACCAACTACTGCGGCTTGCCATCATGAAATCTACCCAACTCTGTCATAATTTCCCCTAACTGAATTGCCGCTGTATGTACAGCCAATCTCATTGACAGTTCTGTGGATACAGACAATTACCTTTTTCAGAGCTACTTCAATGATGGGAAACAGGCATGGGAAAAATATTGTTTGTGAGACCGGGAACAAAGATAAAGAGCTTATTTAGTGAATAACGAGTGGGCCACCTCATCATTACAAAAGTACCCATCACCTGTAATGACCTTTCACAAGCTCTACTATGCAGGCTCTGGTTCTGCATATTAATTGTGCTTGGTAAGATTAACACATGATGTAACAAATTGCCAGTTATCTTGTTTCTTGTCGTTCTTTAGAGTTCTGTGTGTTGGTGGTACTTACAGGTGTAATTATGCCCATTCTATATCAGACATTCTTCTGTGAAACTTTAGCAGCAATATTTTTATTTTTGCTATATAAATCTGAAATAAGTCTGCCCCCTACTGACACAGATATGTTGGGCAATTGCACCAAACGACTGAGCTGGATCATTTCTAAAATTGAGCAAGAAGATGATTGTCTTGTGTTTCAGGTTTTTGTTCACATTATAGTCTTTAAAGAAGGTTTAAATGTGGGGTGAGCATGTTCAATTGAGGTATTTGAGGACAAAGGAATGGGGAAAATGCAGAAGAATGGCTTTAACTTATGATGCTCACTTTGAGAGCTGATGCAGACAGGATCATCTGAATTGTGTCCTCTTGCACCGTAGCACTTCTATAATTGTGATTTCCTGAGAGACCAAAAATCTGTCTATCTCAGCTTTGCCCTTAATGAAGGAGTATCCACTACCATATGAGAATGCCAAAAGCTCACACTCTTTGAGTGAAGAAATTTATTTTTGCCTCACTCCTAAATGATTGACTCCTTTATCTTAAGACTTGTGCTCTTGATCCTCCAGTTAGGAGAAGCAAGCCCTGTGGCAAGCCCCATCAGACTTTTGTGTATTTCAGTGAGATTACCTCTCTCTCTTCTAACAGGACCAATTTATTCAGCCAGTCATCATCAGATAGCCCACTCATTCCAGTCACCAATCTAGCAGGCCGTTAGGGTTCCACCTCCAAAGTAAAGTTCTTGCTCTGAATATGGAGACTAAAATAACATGTTGTACTCACCAAAGCAATATATGATTATAGCAACACTTCATTTTTGTTTTCCAGTCCTCTTGCAATGGACTAATGTGCCATTTATCTTCCTAATAGTTTGCTTGTACAATCCTTTTGAAACATAAACATTTAAATGTTTCACACCTTTCTAAATAAATATTCTGCCTTTTGACTCGATGCAAAAGTGAATAAGCTCCTATTTCCCTTTAGTATACTCCATCTGACACTTTATTGTCCATTCACTTAACTAATCTATATTTTTCCTCGGCCTATATTAGCACCTAATTTTTGTGTTGTACAAAATATAAGATTAACATCCAACCATCACTAGAGATCAGAAGAATATTTTTGCCAGTTATACGTGCAGAAAGTAGATTAATCATTTGAGGTTAATAACACTTTGTTTTTATTTTTGAAAAAAAGTCCTGCACAACTGAAGTCTGTAAGGACAAAGATCAAAAACTCTGGCTGACGCAGTAGTTTCGGTCCTGTTGGGATGACGCCATCTGTGGAGTGCCACTCTTCAGGGTTAAGTAATATAGCCTGCTATGTCATATCGATGTCCTGCAGTTTTTGTTTGCATATCTACACCAGTTAGGAAACATCTCAAATTTGAAAATGTTATTTTATTTTAATAATTCATTGCATGTGGCCTTTTCTGGCTGGGCCAGCATTCATTGCCCATCCCTAGTTGACAGAGTGAATATTTGTGGATGTGGTACCAGTCAAGCAGGCTGTTTTGCTCTGAATGGTATCAAATTTAGAATGTTGCTAGAGCTGCATTATTCCCAACCAAGTCGGGAATGTTCCATCACACTTGCTGATTTGTGCCTTGGAAATGGTGGTTAGGCTTTGGTGAGTCAGGAAACAAGTTACTTGCTTCCTCGGCTCTGACGTACTCTTGTAGCCACAGCTAGTCAAGTTCAGTATCTGGTCAGTGATAACTCTCAGGATGTTTAAGAGATTTAGTGGTCAAATCTCAAAGGAGCAGGAAAGACAATATTTCGGGTTTACACCCTTCATCAGGACTGGGGCAGGAGAAGGGAGCTCAGAAATAAATGGGGGTTGGGGTGGTGGGCCTGGGGGAAGGTAGGTGGATGCAGGTAGGAGTAGTGGAGATTGGTCAGTGGGAAGGGTGGGGTGATAGGTAGGAAAGAAGGTGGCTATGTTGTGTCAGGTCAAGGAGGTGGGGATGAGGGGGAGGTTGGACATGGGATGAAGTGGGGGTTGGGGAGATTTTAAAACTGGTGAATTCTATGTTGAGGCCATCGGGCTGTAAGCTCCTGAGGCGAATATGAGGTGTTGTTCCTCCAGTTTGCATGTGACATCATTGTGGCACTAAAGGAGGCCCAGGATGGACTTGTCACCAAGCGAGTGGGAGGGGGCGTTAAAATAGTTGGCAACTGGAAAGTGTTGTTGATTATAGCGTACAGAGCGCAGATGCTCTGCGAATCGGTCACGGTCTGCGCTTGGTCTCACTGATTTATAGAGGAGGCCACATCAGGAGCAACGGATACAGTAGGCCAGTTTGGAGGATGTACAGGTGAATCCCTGTTGGATTTGGAAAGTTTGGCTGGGGCCTTGGATGGATGTGAGATGGGAGGTACAGGGTAGGTGTAGCACCTCCTACAGTTGCAGGGAAAGGTGTTGAGTGTGGAGGGGAGTGTGGAGCGGATGAGGGATTTGTGGAGTGAGCGATCCCTTCGAAAGGCAGATAGAGATGGGGAGGGAAATATCTCTTTGGTGGGGTCGGATTGCAGGTGGCAGACGTGGGGAAGGATGATGTGCTGGATGCTGAGGTTGGTGGGGTGGTATGTGAGGACCAGAGAGATTCTGTACTTATTTTTGTTGGGGGGGAGGGGGTTTGAGGGCAGAATGCAGGAAACGCAACAGATGAGGTTGAAGGCATTGTGAATCAATGGAAGGGGGAAGTTGCAGTCCTGGAAGTAGGAGGACATCTCGGATGTCCAGGAATGGAATGCTCCATTTTGGGAGCAGATGCATCAGAGGTGAAGGAGCTGGGTGTAAGAGATCGTGTTCTTGCAGGATGGGAGGCGTAGTCCAGGTAGCTATGGGAGTTGGTGGATTTGAAATAGATGTCAGTGCTGAGACAGTTACCAGAGATGGAGAGGTCCAGGACAGGTGAATTTGAAGATGGGGTGAAAAGTGTTAGTAAAGTTGATGAACTGTACAAGCTCCTCATGGGACCATGAAGCAGTGCCAATGTAGGTTCACTAGATTAATACCTAGAATAAGTGAGTTGCCTTTTGTGGAAAGGTTAGACTAGCAGAGCCAGTATCCTTTGCAGATTAGAAGAGTCAAAGATGGCTTAATTGAAATATTAAGATCCTGGGGGTCTTGATTTTGTTGACGTTGAAAGAATGTTTCTGAGACTGATCTTTCACAAATTCTGAAAAACACGTCATTATTTTCAATGGAGATCTGGGAAGCATGGGAAAGATCTCTGTCAAATTGACAATCAAGGATGCCAATCAAGCAAAATGTTACAAGATTAATGCTATCATCAGTGCCCTGTGCAATCAGACCAAAGGCTGAAGCACAATTAGAGAGACTGGTTCAGATAGGAGTCCTTGAACCTGTAAGTGTGAGTGATTGGGCCATCCCTGTTGAACCAGTGGTGAAGATAGATGTTTTGGTACACATCTGTGGTGACTTTAAGGTCACTATTAATTGGCATTGTGTGCTGAGTCGTATCTTTAGTTGATGATCTAGTGTAGCTGGAAATCAGTTTTTGGACTGAGAAAACAGTCGACTGTGACTGTGATTCAAATCATATAACCTAATGATGATGTCATCGGCCATTTTGGTATTAGCCCAGTGTTACTAAAGAGCATATTTGCAAATTCAGCTCTGTCAACTCTTCATTCTTGTTTCTGCTGCCTAGATCAATGGGAGATGGTCCATGTAAAGAAGTGTCACACTGGACTCCATGCTAACTCTTGTTTCTCTCTCCACAGACCAGCTGAGTTTCTCTAGTATTCTCTGTGTTTGTTTCAGATTTCAAGCATCCACAATAATCTCATTTTATTGGCTGAGGTCTAATTGTATTAATTTAGTTTAGTTGTACAATTAAAAACCTAGTACTTTTTAAATTGAAGTAGAATTATGCATTTGTGTGTGATACCTGAGTGAATTCTAAGGTAGTAAATCCCATCGGACTAAATTCGGTGGTTGTTTGCTTTGAACTTTTGTGTTTAGTTTATATATGAATGTACACATTAGGAGCAGAAGTAGGCCAGAATTTTAGAACCTTTCACAGTACCAGTGCAATATTATCTGGAGTTGCAGGAAAAAAAATCATCATCACACTTTATTAAAAAAATTTGGATTGATAGCAACTATTTTCTCCAGTGATAATCTTCATGGACACTGGAGAGGCAGCATGGCTGCTCTTTATGCCCATATAAGCTGGACTTAGCAAAACATAGTTTTGCTCTTCCACGTTTTTAAGGCTATAAATTCTTTCTATTTACCCTATTTTTCTAGAAACCTTGTATAAGCAAAGGCAAGTGCATTTGGTGCTTTAACCAACAAAATCAAATGTCAACAGAAACTTGGCAGAATTAAATCAAAACATCACTATCGGGGTGATGATGCACCCCTGCCCCTGCAGAACCACTGATCTTTAAAAGCTTCTAGTGTGCTGGTGGACACCACATACTCCCTCTCAACAGACCTCTGAGCATGATGTAACTGTGGAAGAGAATCATTCTGGTATTAGGATGTCCCCCTCCTCATTCCATAGCCTGCTGCTTAGACCTGTTGATGACCCCTCTGGCCAGGCTTTAGTATCTTTTTCATGGAATGGTGATTAATTGGATCTATTGTTCATTTTGTTTGGTACTGTCTTTATATAGAGAACCAAACTACTTCCCCATGGGATTGAGAGCTTGGGGTATTGAGTTTAAACATGCATTAACCCGTGAAGATGCTAGGCTTAGAAACTCAGAAGTATTACTGAAGGCCACAAGCCTTTGCTTGTACACGTTTTCTGGAAATGGAGGGAAAACAGAAGGAATTTATTGACCTAATTATAAAGTGAAGCCATTTTTACTAAATCCAGTTTATGTGGCCACTTGGAGCAACTATGCTGCTGCACCAGTGCCCTGAAGATTTTCAGATCTGTACAATTTCAGAAGAGCCCGGTGGGTGGATAGTTTTTAAACTATCTGATTCATAATAAATCTATTTCTGGAATATTGAATTTTGGAACTTTCCAGCATTACTGAACTGCCAAGTGAACAAAACAGGAATTGGGTGTGCAGCATAATATCAAAATTGAGCTAATGGAACCTGAAAAAAACAACATAGGTGTTTAGATAGTGTGCGACATTTTACATGAATTAACATGATAAAGCAATAAATGTACCCTTACATAGAAAAATATAATATTACACAAGAGACTGTTGATAATATTGTATATTCTGGCTATCATTTTTGGAAATTTGGAGTAAAACCCAAAACATGTTTGTGCTTTTCTGTTATGAAGTTTGCCTATTAGCCATGATCAGAGAGGTGTATACCACAGGTAAATTATTCAATCAGAATGTCCATTAATAAAATTCCAGTTTGCTCAGATAAGTTGAATGAAGTTCTATTCTAACATTTTTTTTTAAAGTAACTTTTTGTGACAGAGTAGCTTGTGACATATCTCTTGGTTGCAGAACTATTAATATTTGGGCTACATATATTTGTACTTCAGTCAGTATAAAACTGTGTCAAAACAACATCTGGTTTGGCCCTGTATGCTTCTGAGTGGGTAGAAGAGTTCTCTTTTGTTAATCAGAATTAAAAGTCAAATTATTTGGTCTCTTTAAATATATTAGTAGGAACAGATATATTAGTAGGAACAGCTAAATCAGGATATTGTAAAAATTAATCGTGTGTTTTTTTTTATTTTTTTTGACAGCAACGAAAATCCTACTTGGAACGCAGCGTGAAAGATGCAGAAGACAACATCAGGGAAATGTTAATGGCCAGAAGAGGACAATAACAGATTAGACTGCTGGAAATTCGGTTTCAAACTTATACAGAAGCCACTCTTATATTGGTGCTTATTAGGCTGGATTCTCGGAGACTGGTGTCCATGAGCCAGCTCCCACCATTGACTCAAAGTGCATCACCCTTTTTCAGTGACACAGTTTTTTGACCCAGTTTTTTTGTGTGTCTATGCTGCCAGGTGAAAGGAATTGGACCTGGTTGTATAACAGACGGGAATTGACTCATGGCTAGCAATCTTCTAGCATCCAACTAAAGTATAGGTTAATATAACAGCAACTAAAATAGTACAACCTACCCGTACAAATGATCGTTTTGCTTCCAAGAGCGCACAATTCCTGTGACCTGTGTAGCATTGTGACAGTCTTGATCTCCAAATTCAGCTGCACTTTTATTACCAAATTTCCTTCGTTTAGTTATTCATTATCTTCATCAAAAAAAGCAAAACTGTACTTTTTTTAATGCGGTCGATGTAAGCAGCTTCACTTTATTTTATGGGAGTTAAATCAGCACTGAATTTTTGGCAGCCTCTGTTGTTCAGAAAGCAGACCTGTATTTCCTGGTTTCCTAAAGTATGTACAATAAGCAGACTGATATTGAGGCAGGTTTATAATACATCATCACTGCTTCCTTAATTCTAGCATCTGTTTTCACGTTGGAACATAAGATTATATAAATGTGCATTTGTGAATATGAGGTGTGCTCTGACACAAACTCATTATTTGTTTTGCATATTGAGAAGAATCTGGTAAGATCGAAATAAAACATCATAATATAAAGTGCTGTTCTATTCTCCAACTTTATAAAGTCTTGGCTATGTACCTTTTGTTGTAATACCAACATTGCTGCCTCCCTGAAGACATTAAGGTGGTTTTAGCTGTGTCATTATTGTGGCCATTGAATCAATCTTATTCCTGCCAACAGGAAGTACGCTTAGCAAAATTTGTCCAAGTGTTTCTCAATCCTTGCATTTACCCTATGCCAATCACAGGGTGCTCCCGGTTGTGGTCAGACAGAAAAGACAAAACTTGCACTCCTGTCTGGCCATGTTTAATGCATCAGGATGCCAAAGTTATGAAATAACTCGATACTCATGATATTCAAAAGCTTTTGAATAAAACTATTAATGTATTTGAAACCAACGTCCAGTGTAGGTATAAAAGAACTTTGTGACAGCCCAGTGTTGTGGCAAATCCCTCACAAAGTAACTCCTGTACAAGGTTCCTGAGATAGAGTTATTTTATTCATTAAATTTGGAATGAGTGCACCCGACATTACCTTCAGAGCATGTAAATGATACTGCCTTTCACTGACATGAATATGTCTTGGATTCCTTGGTAATTCCTTGGTGTTGGAAATGTACACTGTCTCATTTTGAATCTATTATTATAGTGCAGTTTGCTCCGTTAATTTCTTTCAAGCCTTACAGAGAAGCTGAACTTTTTATTTCAGATTTGAAGCAGTTCATTCAGGAGTGAATTCCCAACTAAACATCTAACATATACTCTAGACACATTTAACGTTTAACATTACGTCTGTAAAATGGCTGTGTGTAGTATTCAACACTGATAATTAACATTGTACCTGCTGAATAGCACTGTGTGCTTTTGACAATAAGTTAGGGCTACTTGGAGTTGTAGCTTTGCATTTTATTAGTTCTTGGGATATGGACATCGGCAAGGCTATAATTTATTGCCTTTGCTGAATTGCTCAGAGAAGTTGGTAATGGGCTGCTTTTTAAGAGTCAGCCACAGTGGAATGGGATTGAAATATACATGTATATGTAGAGGTTGGACTGGGTATTACTGAACCCACTTTCTCAACCATTTAGCAGCTTCATGACCTTTTTGTCAGCATTTTATTTCCAGAATTTTAATTCTCAAAATGCCATTGTTGATTTTGAACTGCAAATGTGCATAATGTGGGGGCAAAAAATCAACTCCTACATGTGACCAAGCAATGCAAGTTCAGGATAAGATAGATGCAAATAAAACTGCAGCTGAATCTGAAATGGTATGTGAAAATGTACCATTTGGGGTGTATTTGCATCTTGGAAGATGTCTGTTGACTTGATGGACATCATGCAATTATATTAAAAGGTCAGCTCATGCTATGTTATGAGAAAAATCATGCTTGAAGGTTGGTTATTTATTATTTGATTAAAATTATTTTCCTTTTAAGAAATTAATATATTTTTAATGAAAATTGATGTCATATTCTTCAGCCAAATTATAGAACATTAAAAAAAAATTCCAAATGGTCATAATGTCAGTGTGTGCCATTACCCAAATATACTTTTTATTGTAGTTAAATGAGTTTTAAGGACAGATGGAAGAGGCAATGATACTAGCCCTAAATTATTTTTCAGTCTGAAGAGGCTTTTGAAAATAAATAATTTGTTTCCTCCAAAGCAAAGTTTTACCACATGTTACGTAGCGAATGTTTTGGGGCAGCGGGGCAGTGGTGGCAGCGACCAGGTTCATCTGGTGTTCAATGGCAGGAGTTCACCTGCCATTGTGAATGCATCTGTACTTTGGAGCATGTTAGAAATATGCAGATTGGAAATAAGATTAACAGATACTGATTTTTCTTCATGACAGAATGTATAATAATTTGGAGAATTTCTGAGAGATATGGTGGGGTTTGAAAGAAATGCAAGACCTTTCTCGTTTACTTCTATAAAATGAGCACCACCAGAACAGTTAGAGAGCATTTAAAAAAATGTTTCTCAGTGGATATGCCTCCAAATTAATGTCCACATTTATTTTAAAATGTAAATTGTTTTAGTTGATTTTCTGTCTTCATTAAGATGTCATTTGTTCTCCTTCGCCATCATCGTCTTAAGGGTAATTGGGGAAGAGTAATCATTGCTGACCTTGCCTACAATGCCCATATCCTGTGATTGAGGGGAAAGAGGACACCAATTTAGGACCTATTTGCCTCTTCAGGTAGACAAAAATGATCTCATTGAACTATTCAAAGAAGAAGGGTGCAGTTTCATACAATTGTTTACCCGTACACCAGTGTCACACAAAAGACTAGCTCATTGTATATTTTTTACTTTACTGCAGTTTGTGAGACGTTGCAAGTTTGGTGCAGTAGTAATCATATTGATTATTGAAAGTCAGTTTTATTGGAAATTTTGATACTGTTTTATCAGAAACTGATAAATATAGCTTTAAAGTCATTGTCAAGTCACTTGTTATATTATTGATTTCTGAACCAACCAGAAGAATGGTCTAAACTTTTCTGACTACTTATTTGAGTAGCAGCTTTTGCAAGTACAGGTAAATCAATTACATTAGATTCAACTAAAACAAAACAATTCTCATTGATTAATCTTTGAGTTTTGAGTGAAATGGACTGTAATTGAAGATTAATTGGGACTAAGCCAAGAGGAAGATTTGTTTTAAGTGTTTTGCAGTAAAGCAAATTTAAAAGTGCTTTAGTGCCTTCATGTGGCAGCAGAAGGTAATCACTGAAAAAATAGTTGTGTGATGCAGAGTACACAAATCAGAGGTCATGTGAAATATCAACCAGGCACTTTTTATAATGACAGAGAGAAAGTGGGAATTTAACTAATATTACATTCAAACAGAATTCAGCATTTGCAGTCTTTATTTCAAATTAATTCAACAGCCAATCTCTGTTGAGAATGGGTTTAGCTGTGGAGCAGTTATCATTTTATTGTGGGTTCAACTCTGTTTAGAAAAACATGGGAACTCTGGGAAAGCCTTTGGCTTCTGATTATTATATTGCTAGCTTTTTATTTCTTGGTGGCTGTTTTCTCCATTGAAGATATGTTTCCATATCTTCATTACCTTTTCTCCTCTGTTTCCTTCTTAGCAATTTTGAGCATTTTTCCAACTTCCTTCTGATTCTAGGACCAGAACTTTTCCATATTGACCCCACTTCCAGCCAAGACTTTCTTTATCTTGGCCAGAAATTCCCCTGGGATTGCTGCAACCTCCCCACTACGTTGTTGCTGTTTCACAGCCTAGGCAAAAGCATGAGTACCAAGAGTCACAGCCATCATCTGCACAGGGGCAGATGGCATCTACACATGCGCAGAGGTTGGTGGCCAGCTTTGTCAGCCATCTTGGCATTCATAGTATATACTCCAAATGTACAACATTGGATCCTGAACAAGGAAAAGATGCAATCTGTAGAGAAAACATGATGAATAATGTGTCTGTACACAGAGTTCTAGAATAGGCTGTAAATACAGAAAATAGTTCCAGGGTTTATTTTCCTTCTTTTAGCTGTTTTAATTCAATTACAAAAATAGGTGAGAAAATTCAATCATAACTTGCATCTTCTGAGGTGCTTTTACAGGAAAAAGAATATCAAACCAAAAAAAAAGGAAGTTTGACAGAGCCAGGTTTAAAGAGAGTTATAAAACAGTAATGGGAGTTGAAGGGTTTCAAGTTGGGACCTTTAGGGCCTGGAGCCTAGGTGACTGAAAGTATAACCACCAAAGATGGGGTAAGGAAAGAAGGAGATTCAGAAAAGGACAGTGTGAAAGAAACAATCTGGGGGAATAGTGATATGCAGAAGTGAGGCTTTGAGGGATTAAAACATGAGTATGGTAAATTTAGGCTTTTTAGGATCAGGAGCCAGTCTGGGTCAACAATGGCAAGAGTGGTGGATGAGTGAAATTTTATGCAGAATAGGACATGGCCAGTAGAATTTGGACGAGTTGAAGTTTACAGAAAACGGAGAATAGAAGGCTGGCCAAGAAATTGAGGTCAGGTTTGGAGCTAAGTGTGAATGAGAGTTTTAGCAGCAGATTGTCTGAGATAGGCATTGCTTCAAAAGATAGAATAATACTTTCTTTGTGATTGTGATTGAAAGAAAAAGGGCTGGAAACTCATCTCAAGTTTGAATAATACATTGAAATTATAGATTTCAGATTATGTTGTGGCTTGGAAGTAAATGAAGTCACTGTCAAGGTTACAAGAGTTAGTAGTTGAGCCAAAGTGGAATGCTACAGAGTTATCAGTTTTTAGCTGCAAGAAATTGT